ATATTTTAGCCAGGTAAATCAAGAAATCCCCACATGTTTTGATAAGACCTTCAAAAAATATCTAACTAGTTTAAGTATCCTATTGTTAGGCTACACTACCTCTCAGTTTTATAATATGCATCTTGAATACATTATTTATTCTCCCTTTTTCACAGAGAGGTGTGCATTTTATTCTTCAAAATGTCTGTCTTCTCTGGTTTTTACTCATTTTCCCCATTATTTTCTACATCTGATTATGTTTTATATTAGATTGCAGATGATTGCCTTAACTCTAGAAGTTGTAGGGTTTGCATTTACCCCTCCATTGTTTGTTATAATCTCAAATTCCGTTTATAGTTCAAATTCTGTGTATTGGTACTTTATATACTCAGTAGAATTCATAAGTGTTAAATCAGGCCTCTTCTCTGATAGATTCTTCCTGATTTATAGAAACCATTACTCATTACAGTTAAATATAAATATGTTGTATTGGAAACTCACCATAGTCATTTAGATTTAGAGATTTTTTTCCTTTGATTTGTTTTCTTAAGCCTTTTATTTTTTTACTTAAAAAAAAAATTACCCAGATAGTAAATATCCACTATATAAAGTTCAAATATTTTAGAAATATTTTAGAAAGTGAAAGTTTTCAGTATTTTTCCTTCTAGGGGTAACAAATTTTACAATTTGTAGTCTATTCTTCTGTTTTTTTCTGTACACAAATAGTGTTGTTTATTATCACTTAGAATAAAAATGCTAATATGAAAAAATGAGGTGCTACTATAATATGTTTTTGAATTTAATTTAAAAAATTCAGTAATATATTTTGGATATTTTTCCAGAAAGTTAAAATTTACTTGTTTAGGAAGAGATTCATATCTGTTATATAGCTCTATCTGTTTTGGTTCTTTTCTTCCTTAATCGTTCCCTCCTTCCTTTCTTTTGTTTTTCTATATTAGCCCCTATTAATTATCCTCTTCCTCTATAACCTGATTTCTTTCTTGTATTATTTTCTTCATCCTTTCTAGGAAGTCAAGATTTTTAGATCTTTTCCTTTTTGTCAAGTAGAGGGATCAGCTTGTAGAACATGCACATGTAGTTATCTTTTGTCAAATGTGGTCATTTATTAAAACTCTTCTTTTGAAGTATAGGGTTCTCTGATAGGATTATAGTCATTCGTTTTTCTTCAGTCATCTCATTTATTTACTCATTCAAATGTTCGTCAAGAGCCAAATCTATGTTGGACATTGTGCTAGATGTTGGGGAACACAACGGTCATCAAAACAGATGTCATTCTCACCTATTGATGGACTTTATAATCTTTTGGATAGGAGAGACATAAAATTAAGAGTTATCTACTTAATGGGGGCTGGCCAGGTGGCAGAGCGGTGAAGTTTGCACATTCTGCTTTGGCTGCCCAGGGTTGGCCGGGTGGGACCCTGGGTATGGACCTACTCACCGCTCGTCAGGCCAGGCTGAGGCGGTGTCCCACATAGAAGAACTAGAAGGACTACAACTAGGATATGCAACTAGGTACTGGGGCTTTGGGGAGGAAAAAGAAAAAGAGAAAGATTGGCAATAGATGTTAGCGCAGGGCCAATCTCCGTCAAAAAAAAAAAGAAAAGAACTTTGTGATTACGCTGACAAATTTGGATAATCCAAGAAAATCTCCCCATGTCAAGATCTTTTAAAACAAAAAAGAGTTATCTACTTAAAAATTGTGATAAATGTTGTTTGGGTCCAATCAAGAGAGAGAAACCGCATAGTAATTTAAACTGGTAAAGTTGAATATAATGAATTATTAACTGTAATGGGGGATTGGCTCACTACACCAAAGAGTAATTTTAAAGAATATAGGAAGAGTAGCTATAAGAAGTAGCCACTACCATAAGGCTGAGATAGCATTCCTGGAAAGAGGTCCTTCTCCTCCCCAAGGGTTGAGATCCAGACATTGCTGGAGAAGATACAGCTATGACTCACTAAATGGCAAAGAAATCACTGTGGTGCTATGCTGGCAAGACTAGCTAGAAGTTTGCTCTGAAACTTTCTGGAAATCCACCCTCTGATGTGACCAGGAAAGCTGTTCACGGGACAGTGTCTCACTGGATGCATCCTGCTGTGAAACTGCCTGGGTTTTAGCGCAAAGACCGGCTATTATTGGGTGCTGTAGGCTCTTGGTCAGTGCATGAGAAGGATATTGCTGGTGAACACACTGGAACCAGGAAGCAAAACTCTTTCCACGTGCAGTGTCTCTACAGAGTTCTCTATCTTCTTCAGTGCTGGTTGGCAAAGGAGAAGTATTTAAAGGGCTCAGATCCACTTTTATAGAGCAGGCAAATGGGTGAATTTGGGGCTGATAGAGGAACAGATTGATAGAGGAACAGGCCCAGATACCGTGAAGGAAAGGAGAATAAAGGACACCCCAGTTTAGTTTTGGTGGTGGTATCAGAGAAGGTCTTTTTGAAAAAGTAGCATTAAGACCAGATGTGTGTGTAGGATCCACTCAACTGAAGAGTATAAGGAGGAGCCTTTGAAGCAGTGGTCAACTGTGAAAGCCCTAACCTGGGACAGAATTTGTAAGTTGCCAAAAGCTAGATTGGTTCTAATGTAGTTACTAAGGGAGAGAGTGGGATGATGTTAAAAAGGCATAGGTCTCGATTATGCAAAACCTTGAAAGTCATATGAAGCAGTTTGGGTTTTGTTCTAAGGGCAGTGAGAAGTAGGGGAGAGACACAATAGACTTACATTCAAAATAAAACAAAATACTCACATCCCCCCCCCTTCCATTAAAAAACAAACTAGACAGATCACTGTTACCTGGCATCAAGAAAGGCTTCATTGAAAGTAAGGCTGAAAGTAAGACTTCCAGGGATTACAGGACTTAGATTTACAAATCTAAGCAGGAATACATGAAACAGATCATTTTGGTTGAGAAAGTCTTAGAGTGGAGATGGCATTGAGGGTAGAGACATGCTTAACAGTTAGATGGAGAATTTGCATGTCAGCTTATCCCTTCTGGCTGCTGCTTTTGGCTGTCCTATCTGATTCATCCAGCAAACAAACTTTAGTAAAACCATGTCTTCTGTGTTTGAATCCAAATCATTTGGGGAAAAAAATTAACAATTGTGTTTTGAGTCAGTTCTGCTATTAAATTCTAAGCTTATTGGGTGATCTTCAGAATTCTGTGATGATCTGTTAATCTGTGTTTACCCCTCAACACTCTCCATCCCCATTTTAAGAGATTTCATTTGAATCTGCCTCTTATAGACTATTGGAGATATCAAGGTCTTTTCTTCCTTTCTCTCTATCAGAGTCTTGCTTGGGCCTGCCTGGGCAAGGCTTTTGGAGTCCCTTAGGATGACACAATTTTGTTATCAATTTTTCATATTTAAAGGACGAGATGTCCCAGACTTAGCTATTTATTCTCAATTATTCTATAAATATGTATATTTAAAACAAGATATTTTGATTATTTTTAATTTAATTTTTTCTCTAGCCTATCAGGCCAGTCATCTCTTGGCACTTGACTCGCTTGCTCCACATCTCCTGTCAAGCTTTACTTTACTCTGTCACGGTATATACATTTTATCTGAGTATCTTTTTATAATTTTAATTTATTATATGTACACTTAAAGTTGTTGACTTATTCTTCAGTTTGAACGTATATTCTTTAATAATAAATCCTTAACTTGAAAGGTTGATGTAAAATATATCAATATTCCTACATTTAAGCCTTTTTACTTTAATCCTTCATAATAGTGTGTTAATATGGAATCAAAAAACATGGAATGATTTTTGGGGATTTAGCTTTGGGGGAAGAAGGGACTAGATAGTGATGAAATATAAGTCAGGGTAGTTCCAAACAGAAATATCATGAACTGTTCAAATATCATTTAACTTTCTGGATCAATTCTTTTATAAAATCTTGGGGCTTTTTTTTGTAAAGGCTTGTTGGTTTAATCACTGCCCTTCCTGTTCAGCTCTCTTGTGGCCTTTCCTAACCTATATCTATTCAGAACAAAATGTTCAGTTAAAATGTGTATGCACTTGACTGCAGTATGAGGGTATACACATTAAATAAACTATATTACTTAAATTTTTTCAGCCTGGCTATTCAGAATTTTATGTATTAGATTGTTATAGATATTTTTTAGTTTCTCATTATAATTCATGTTAAAAAAAATCTAGTCCTCTTGATAGTTCTTGTGTAGATTTTTTGTTGTATTTTTTGAAGAGAGGTGCCTTTCTGTTTGAGTATCAGATCCCCTAAACTTTATAAATCAACATTGTTTACTCACTCAAACTGGTTCAGTGGCTCCTTACAGAATTTCCTCTTTAAGGAGGAGTTCCCATCTTATAGGGTCATAATAATCTGATAATTGATAATAATAATAATTTGTTTAGATTTAAAAGCAGATGCTGAACTTAGGAACATAAAATAGATTAATTTGATATACAAATCACATGCAAGTGAATGAATTAAATTTATTAGAATAAAAAACCTCAAGTGAATGAAATAAGGAATGGGGTTCTCTGGTTTGTTGCCTTTTCTGGTTTATGTATGGTTTTATTGAAGATGATTTAATAAGCCAGGATTTTTCATTGTCTCAGAGTAATATAAAGATCAGATATCGTTGTTCACTATGGTAGATGTAGCTGTATTCACCAATTGGGAATTATATAGATTCTAATATAGCAGTTATGAATAAATGTTTCATACACCTTAATTTTTTGGGATATATAATATCTCCCCAGGTTCACCCAAATTGAGTTTGCAAGTTAAAAACATTTATTTGAGGACTCATTCCAATTTTGTACTGTTATATTTAATTAGGAGTGTACACGTTGAGTAACAAATATTTTAGCTTTCTATTGAAAATATTTTGCTTAAGGTCATTTTAAAATTAATTCTAATTTCACATTATTGTAAGACTGTGCTACCAATTCATAGGTTTAATGATTCTCTATTTCTTGAGTAATTTGTGAAAACCATTCATTGGGAAGATTTAAATTTTCTGCAGGTCTACTGTATATTATTGAAACACAGAAAGTTCTTGATCTCAAAATTAATTTGAAGGCCTCATATGTTATTATCCCACAAGATGGAATTTTTAGCCCTACATCAAATCTACTTCTTTTGGATCTTGGTCATCTCAAGGTATATACTAATAATATTTGTTTTATAATATGGCATTTAGGGTATTTCTTTGTTTAAAATGTATTTTGTTTTGTAGACACTTTGATTTGGGGTATTGATTTTTAGGTTTATGGTTGGTAACTAGGATTTGAGAAATCTTTCTTTTCTGGTGAATGAAGTGAAGCTTCGTTTAATTAAGTAGTTTTCCTACATTTCTAAAAGCAAAATGGCCAATTGATCTCTGCAGGTCAGGAGTGAACCTAAGAATTACATTTATAGAATTTGAGAATAATGGCTGAGTTTATTTCCTTTTCAAGTTAAATTTATTATTTGATTAATCAAAATATATAGAATGAGAGGGAGTTCTGGAAGTAATCAGTATATCTTCATCCTTCTGAAATTTTTTGTGTATATAACTTTAGATATTGACATTTTAATATTTCTGTTAATTAATCCTAAATTGAGAGATGGTCTTCTTGCATTTACCTAAGTCGTCCCTTTCTATTCAATTATGTACGTTTTTCTTCATTTTTGAGTAGAGAATAATTTTTTTCTGTTTCTAGATTTGCACTATTTAATGTGGTACCCACTGGCCACATGTGGTTGTTTAAATTGATTTAAATTGAATAAAATAAAAAATTCACTTCCTTAGTCATATTAGCCACATTCAAGTGTTTAATAGTCGTAAGTGGCTAGTGACTACTGTATTAGCACAGATGGAGAACAGTTCCATCATTGTAGTAAGTCCTATTGGACAATACTGCTCTAGATCGTTAAATGTAGAGGAATAGCCATAACAATTTCAAGACCCAAGAGAGGCAGGCCAGGTGGCGTAGTGGTTAGGTTCAGTGTGCTCTGCTTCAGCGGCCCAGGTTCCCGGGTTTGGATCCCAGGCGTGGACCTACACCGCTGGTCAGCCATGCTGTGGCAGCGACCCACATATAACATAGAGGAGGATTGGCACAGATGTTAGCTCAGGGCTAATCTTCCTCAAGGAGAAAAAGAGGAAGATTGGCAACAGATGTTAGCTCAGGGGGAATCTTCCACACACGCACACACAAAAGGTCAAGACCCAAGAGGGATGGATAATATTAGAATGCTCTTTCTGGCTACCTAACAGAAGTGTGCCTTTCCTTGATATTGACATTCTCCTTTATTATACTTTTTACTCTTCAGTTGGTAATTATGTAGACATCTGCTGGATTTACATTTATAATAAAATTTACACAGCTAATTATTCATATTTGAATATGGAATTGATTCAAGGTATAGTGGAAAGAGCATAAGGTCAGGAATAAGGGTATCTGTCTAGTTTTGTGATCTTAGGTAATTTGCTTAAACTTTTGCCTAAAATTCATTACCTTTCAAACAGAGATAATCAATTTTGCTTGTCTACTTCACATGAGCTATATAAAATAGAGGAAAAAATGTTAAAATATGTATATACACACACATGCATGTATATATAAATATAAATGAATAAAATCTTTATATATGGCTATGGAGTGATCTCCAAGATATTTAAGTGAAAAAAGTAATGTGCATGGTACTCCAAGAAGGAGGAGGTACAAATATAACTTGCTGGGGGCGTCACATAAAAGGCAGAGTTGGGACTAAAATTCAGCTATTCTAATATTTAATTCTGAACTCTTCTTATTATAAAGCTATCTAAATATCTGTCATTGTGTCAGAAAAATTTTGTAAGCTATATTTGTCTCTTAATTTTGTTTTTAATAAAAAGGCTTCTTACCAAATTTTTAAAAATTTTAGATGTATTAGTTTCAAGGACTGCCTTGGTTCCCCTCTTTTAATATAAATAATTGGGATATTAACTCAATATGTAAATCTTTACTATATACCTAGCCTTCCTATTGTATACGTTACGGATAAAGACATATCTAATAGTATGTATGTCAGCTTATAATGTATGTCAGCTTGTGAGTTTGTCCTTTCCTATTAAATTTTTATATTATAGTCTGAAAGATAAAAACTTTATATTTTCATTTTGAAGTGTTTTGCGTAGTCTAAACTATAAAAATTAACTTCAAGGTGACAAGTAAAAGTCGTTCGGAATTACCAGATATGAAACAAGGTGGGGCCAAACTTGAAGAAATAATGCATAGAGCTTATGATTCCTTTGATATTCAGCTTACAAGCATACAGCTGCTTTACAGCAGAGTTGGTAAGTATACAATGCCTTATTTATTGATTCATTTTGCTGACGTGATTAATTAGGTTTTTAGATAGTTTCTCTGAAGACCTTCATCTTAAATATATTAGAACTTTTATATTTTTAAATTAGAAGGGATAGTAGATATTGCCAAGGAGCAATATATCAACTAGGAGCAGTTTTATCCCTCAAGAGTCATTGTCAATGTCTGGAGACATTTTTGGTTGTCACAAGTGGGACTGGAGCACTACAACCATCTAGTGGGTGGATGTCAGGGAGGCTACTAACCATCATACAATGTAGAAGAAAGCTGTCCCGCAATAAATATTTATTTGGCCCAAATGTCAGAAGTGCTGAGATTGAGAAATCCTGATCTACAATGTTTTCCAACCCAAGGCTGGAAAACGCTGGCACATATTTAAAATGATATTTGTAGTACATGGTGGGATAACCAGAAGAGGCTGCTCAAGGCCAGAGGCAACCAGCCTAGGGGCTCTGAGAGCTCAGGCCATCAACAGCCACACAAAGAGTGGGGAGTTGGGGCTGGCCCGGTGGCGCAGCGGTTAAGTGCGTGCGCTCCACTTCAGCAACCCAGGGTTTGCAGGTTCGGATCCCAGGCGCGCACTGATGCCCCGCTTGTCAAGCCATGCTGTGGCGGCATCCCATATAAAGTAGAGGAAGATGGGCAGGGATGTTAGCCCAGGGCCAATCTTCCTCAGCCAAAAGAGGAGGATTGGCATTGGATGTTAGCTCTGAGCTGGTCTTCTTCACCAAAAAAAAAAAAAAACAGACTGAGGAGGGTCACTGTCTTAATTATACCGTTACCGCATTCACTTTGGAGTGCTAATCAGGAGTCTCTGATCTAGATCTAGTTTTTTAGATGAAGTCAACAGAGCCAGAAATTCCCTTGTCAAGAGTCACTGAAGTAGATAGTGAGAGAGCCCAGACTAGTTGAGCCCTCATTCCACTGTCGTATTGCTTCTGACTCCCTGGAGTGTTAGTGAACACTCAGATAATTCAAAAGAGTTGGATTGGTGACTGATTTACAGGTCTAAATATGTATGTTTATGGTAAAATTTTAATTATCTGAGCTAACTAATAAAAGAAGAAGCAATGAGAACCCAAAGTAATGGTTCTTAAAAATGGTAGTTTATATAGGACTGCAGCATTTTGATTTTCTTTCTTTTATATTTGTTTTAGGATAATGAACTTGGTTTCTGTTTTTATCATATTTCAGTTGGTGTAGAAGGAGGCCAGAAGTATAGTGGGTAGCAAATGTAAATTGTTTATAGAAGATCTGTAACGTTTTTTTCAGGGAATAAATTACTACATTTTGGTATGTTTGATACATTTTAGTCACTGGTTTTTGAAGTCCATGAACCATATTTAATATTTAAGATATTGAGATGTTTTGTGAAAAAAATTTTTAAGTATTTCATTATTATTGTCTGAAAATTATTGGAATTCCTTGGAATTGTTTTTGATAAGCATTAACTATTCTTAAATAATTAAATATTTTTTAAGCAGGATTTATTTGATATTGGGGTTACTTTATGTAATTGTTCATAAAGTGTCTTGATAAATACTGAAACACGTTTTTAAATATCTTAGTTTTTTATCTGTAAATTAAGAGGTGAAGGAAATATTTATCTCAATAGTGTTGCAATTTTAAAAATTGTAATAAAATCCATTTTACTACCTTTCTCCAAGTATCTAGTCTTTCATTGGCTTGGTTTTCCTTGACTGAGAATTTTTTATCAAGACTCATGGAATTGTTAGGTTCAAGTGAGGTAATGTATATGAAAATGCATTGTACTATACAGATGCCATTCATCTTGTTATAAATTTTAAAAATTATTTCATATAATTATAAACATGTCTTTTAGAAAATCTGGACAATACAGAAAACAAAAAAAGATCATCTTTTATCTTACAGCTCACACATGAACATTGCTATTTCAGTGCATATCCTTTTGGTATTTTTTCAGTGTATGTGCCAATGAGTGTATGGGATGTGCTTGTGTGATGTTTATGAGTGGGAGCATTTTTGAATGCATTTTTTACATGATTTATATAGTTTTATATCCTGATTTTCTTTTCATTTACCAGTAATATTTTGGGCACTTGAATTCATGACTTTTATTGGCTATCTAATGTTCTAAGGCCATGCTGTCAGTTACTTAGCCATTCCCTTATTGAACATTTAGGCTTGTAACACTGCAGTGAATGTTGCCAGAGGTCACATGTTAGCAGACAGGGATGTAAATTTCAGCTTTTATCACTTACTAGCCTTTTGACCATAAGCAAGTTATAAATTCCTGTGAGTTTCAGTTTTCTATAATGAGATGATTAGGCATCATTGTGAGAATTAAATGAAAATTTAAACATTGCCTAGAATAGTGCCAGGTGTAAGTCTTGAATAAATGGTAGCTTTTATTAGGTAATGCTGAAGAACTGTGCTTTTCCCTACGTTTTTCATTATTACCTTAGAGCCATGTTGTTTTTTGGGGTAAGGTGTCTGGTTGGCGTAGTGATTATCAGTGGATACACAGTAGATATGATTAAAACTATGTTGTTGTTGTTTTAATAAGCATTTTTCCTGTTAAAACATAGAAAGTGTTTTGAAACAGCAGAAGGAAAGTAATGAAAGGGAAAAAAATTTACCTGCTGATTCTGTGTATCTGGGAATGTGGCATTAAGATTATGTACATGTGGGAAGATTTCCCTATATCATGTAGTGTATGATTGTGAAGTATTGGGAGTAATTTTAGCTTTAGTATGTTTTTCAAATTATACATGTGTTAAGCATGTACTGTTTTCTATAATTAGGTGATAATTGGAAAGAAGCACGAAAACTCAATGTATCTACACAGCATATTTTGGTACCTATGCACTTCAATGTGGAAGTCTCTAAGGCCATGGTTTTCATGGATACAAGAATGCCCAAGTATGTATTCTCTGTTTCGTGTGATTGTAGATTTTCTCAGTAATTCTGTAGCTAAAGAAATACCATATTTGATTGATTTTTTTGTGGTAAAATATATGTAACATAAAATATACCATTTTTAAGTGTATAATTCAGTGGTGTTAAGTACATTCACATTGTTGTGCAACCATAGACAACTTGTCATCTTCCCAAACTGAAAGTCTGTACCCATTAAACAATAATGTCCCACTCCCCACTTCTCCCAGCCTCAGTCAGTCACCATTCAGTGTTACGTCTCTATGAATTTGACTACTCTAGGGTCCCTCATAAAAGTGGAATCATACAATATTTGTCCTTTGTGTCTGGGTTATTTCATATAGCATAATGTCTTCAAGGTTGATCCATGTTGTAGCATACCTCAGAATTTCATTTGTCTTTAAGGCTGAAAAATACTTCATTGTATGTATATATCACATTTTGTTTATCCATTCATCTGTTGATGGAAGTTTAAGTTGTAATAATGTTTGGCTTTTGTAATAATGCTGCTATGAACATTGGTATACAAATATCTGTTCAAGTCTGTGCTTTAAGATTTTTTGGGTATATACCCAGAAGTGGAATTGCTGGATCATATGATAATTCGATTTTTAATTTTTAGAGGAACCACCCTTCTGTTTTCTACAGCAGCTGCACCATTTTGTATTCCCACTAGCAATGCACAAGGGTTCCAATTTCTCCACCTCTTCACCAACATTTGTTATTTTCTTCTTTTTTTTTAAATAATAACCATCCTAATAGGTGTGAAGTAGTATCTAATTATAGTTTTGAATTACATTTCCCTAATGATTAGTGATGTTGAGTGATGTTTCATTATTGCCTTAGAGCCAATATATTTTCATTTACTTATTGGCAATTTATATATTTCTTTGGAGAAATGTCCATCTAAGTCCTTTGCCCATCTTTTGGGTTGTTTGTTTTTTTGTTGTTGAGTTGTAGGAGTATTTTTTGTCTTTTAATATATTCTGAATATTAACTCTTTATTGGATATATGATTTGTGAGTATTTTCTTTCATTTTGTGGATTGCCTTATTTATCACTCTTTTAATAATGTCCTTTGATGCACAAAAGTTTTAAATTTTGACTAAGTCTAATTTGTCTTCGTTGCCTGTGTTTTTGGTGTTATAGCCAAAAAATTATTACTAAATCCAATGTCATGAAGCTTTTCCTGTATGTTTTTTTCAAAGAGTTTTATACTTTCAGTTCTTATGTTTAGGTCTTTGATTTATTTTGAGTTAATTTTTGGATATGGTGTAAGGTAAGGATCCAGCTTCATTCTTTTGCATCTGGATATTTAGTTTTCCCAGCACCATTTGTTGAAAAGATTGTCCATTCCCCATTGAATAGTCTTGGCACCCTCGTCAAAAATCATTTGACCATATTTATGAAGGTTTATTTCTGGGCTTTCTGTTCTATTCCCTTGGTCTCTGTATTTGTCTATATGTCAGTACCACACTGTTTTTATTACTGTAGCTTAGTGGTAAGTTTTGAAATCAGGAAGTGCGAGGCATCCAACTTTGTTCTTTTTCTAGATTGTTTTGGCTATTTGGGGCCCTTCGAGATTTCATATGAATTTTAGGATGGGTTTTTCTATTTTTGTAAAAGGTGTTATTGAGATTTTGGTATAGATTGCATTGAATCTGTAAGTGCTTTGAGTAGTGACATCTTAATATTGTCTTCCAGTCAATGAACATGAGATGTCTTTCAATTTATTTGTGTCTTCTGTAAGTTCTTTAAGCAGCATTTTGTAGTTTTCAGTGTATATCTTTTACTTTCTTGGTTAAGTTTGTTCTTTTTGATGCTACTGTAAATGGACTTATTTTCTTAATTTCCTTTTCAGATTGTTCATTGTTAGTGTATAGAAACTCAATTGATTTTCTCAAGTTGATTTTGTATCCTGCAGCTTTGCTGAATTTGCTTATTAGTTTTAACTTTTCTATCTTTTTTTGTGGAATTGTTAGAGTTTTCTACATATAAGACCACTTGATCTTTGAACAGAGGCAATTTCACTTTTTCCTCTGCAATATGGATGCTTTTTATTTCTTTTTCTTGCCTAATTACTGCGGCTAGACTTTCTAATACTATGTTGAATAGAAGTGATTTGAGCAGGCATCCTTTATCCTGAGCATAGGGGAAAAGCTTTCAGTCTTTCACTATTGAGTATGTTAACTGTGGTTTTTTTCATGTATGACCTTTATTATGTTGAGGTAGTTTCCTTCTATTCCTAGTTTGTTGAGTGTTTTTGTCATGAAAACATGTTGATTATTTCAAATGCTTTTTCTTCATCAATTGAGATGATTATGTGTTTTTTTTCCCTTCATTCTGTTAATGTGGTGTATTACATTGATCTGTTTTCATATGTTGAACCATGCTTGCCTTCCAGGAATAAATCCTTCTGGGTCATGGTGTATAATCCTTTTCATGTGCTGTTGAATTCTGTTTGCTAGTATTTTGTTGAGGATCTTTGCATCAATATGCATAAGGGATATATTGGTCTGTATTATTCTTTTCTTGTAGTGTCTTTGTCTGGCTTTGATATCAGAGTAATGCTGGCCTTAATATGAGTTAGGAAGTGTTCCTTTCCCTACAATTTTTTGGAGGAGTTTGAGAAGAATTTGTTTTAATTCTTCTGTAAATTTTTGGTAGAATTCACTAGTGAAACAATCTGATCATGGGCTTTTCTTTGTTGGGAGATTTTGATTACTGATTCAGTCTCCATACTAGTTATGGGTCTATGGGTTTTCTGTTTCTTCACAATCCAGTGTTGATATGTTTGTGTTTCTAGGAATTTGTGTACTTCATCTAGGTTATCCAATTGTTGGTGTAAAAGCGTTCTTAGTAGTCTCTTATAATCCTTATTTCTGTATAATTGGTAGATGTCCCCACTTTCATTTCTGATTTTGAGTCTTTTCTCTTTTTTTCTCAGTCTAGCTCAAGGTTCTTCAATTTTGTTGATCTTTTTGAAGAACCAACTGTGGATTTTGTTGTTTTTCTATTGTTTTTCCATTCTCTATTTGTTTCTCTCTGCTCTCATCTTTGTTTCCTTACTTCTGCTAACTTGGTTTAGTTGGCTCTTTTTTCTAAGTTCCTTAAGATGTAAAGTTACGTTGTTGATTTGAGATCTTTCTTCTTTTTTAATGTAAGTGTTTACAGCTATAAATTTCCCTCAACATGGCTTTTGCTGCATCCTGTAAATTTTGGTATATTGTGTTTTTATTTTCACTTGTCTCAAGATATTTTCTTATTTCCCTTAGGATCTTTTCTTTGACTCCTTGTTTAACAGTGAATGTGTTGTTTAATTTCCACATATTTGTGAATTTTACATTTTCTTCTGCTATTGATTTTTAGGTTCATTCCATTGTGATTGAAAAAGATACTTTCTAAGAGAAACCTGCACCCTTCTTGTTGCCTTTTAAATTATAGTGACTCTATCTACTAGCAAACATTGTGCAGTGTACTGAGTCTTGTTATCCCAGACTTCCTTCTTCTAGAAAATCAAACTGCACTCTGAGAGTCTTAAGGCAGAGGAATACCAAGGATTTGGTTTGAGAAAGAGAGAGGAAAGAAAGGCATTCTACATATTTGCTATTTTTTATAATCTAGTATTAGGTATAATTTGATTTTAGATACAAGGCTTAGGTTCTTTGGTTCCTTCTCAAATGATCCCCTGCCTTTTTACTGTTGTCTAATATTTATTGTTGTAAAGTTTGTCAGTATGTGATAAAGAACAAAGATGTATGTGATTTCCTGTTGTAAACCTATGATTATAAATTCATCTTTTTCTGATAGTTTAGTTTTCTTTTTACTTGGTAAGTATGCTAGAATCTAGGAAGTTATGGGATACCAGAAAAAAGGAGGTGATATTACTCTGAGGGAAGAAAATGGTAACTTAACCTTGCTTTGGATTGTTCTATCATTATGTGATTATGGAGAATTTATGTCCTGTAATGCAGGGAATATGTATGGCGTGGCAGGAATTAAAATAGCTGATTAAAATATCTATATAGATAAGGGAATGCAAGATCATGAGAAATTAATCCAGTGTAACAGTCAGGAAACTTTTTCTATAAAGGACCAGATCGTAAATATTTTAGGCTTGAAGTTTGTATTGTCTGTCGCGACTACTCGACTCTGCTGTTTTAGCATGAAAGGAGCTGTAAACAATACATAATGAATGGGCATGGCTGTGTTCCAATATTACTTATTTGCAGAAATAAGCAGCAGGCTGGATTAGCCGATGGCCATAGTTTGTCAGCCTCTGGTCTAGTGCATTATAGCCAAACATGATCAATAAAAGGAAAAAGACACCAGGAAAGTCATTTGAACTAGTAGTCTAATGATACTAAAATGGCTCTAGGTTAGGACCAGAGAAGTATACCTAAAATAATCACAGGCAGAAACTATAATGATTTAAAAAGATGAAATCTAAGAAGCATTTAGTTTCAGTTTTGTAAGTTGTGAGCAGTATAAAGTGAGAATGATGTTATATGAAATCCTGCAACTCTAAAGTATGAGGCAGCTTCCTTTGAAGTTTGAGCTTAAAAAGTTTAAGACAAATAAAAAGAAGTCCTCTATTATTTGGTAGGTAGTATTTTGGCACCCATCATCTTCAGGTTGTACAACTGGCATATTTAAAGAAATTGGGAAGTTTAGATACATTAATGAGACTGATCCATAGTATGTACCTAAGTTAAACCAGGATGTATGGAATTAATTACAGATATTTAGGCTATTGAAAGTAAAAGAAAGCTTATAGTTTTTTTTTGAGGAATTCAGATATATCTTTAGAATGATAACATTAGTAGTCAGTGTGTGTGAGTTGAAAAAGTAAGTTTTAGGAAGAATGCAGGGATAAAAATGGTGAATGAAAACTTACTCTCTCTTTGATGTCAGTCTCTTTATTATTATTATTGTTATTTAAAGACATTATTTTAGAGCAGTTTTAGGGTCACAGAAAAGTTAATAAAAAGATACAGAGATTTCCCATATACCCCTTATATTCACCCATGCATAATATCCTCCCCCATTAACAGCATCTCCCAAGAGTGGTACAGTTGTTACAATTGATGAACCTACATTGACACATCATAATCACCCAAAGTCCATAGTTTACATTATGATTTGCTCTGGTGTTGTACATTGTATAGGTTTGGACAAATGCATAATGACTTGTATCCATCATTATGGTATCATAATAGACCCAAGTCTGTTCCTGGGCTCTCTATTTCATTACATTGATCTCTTTGTCTATTCTTTTGTCACTACCACAGTGTCTTGCTTACTGTAGCTTTATAAGTCTTGAAGTCAGGGACTGTCAATCCTCTAACCTTGTTCTCCTTCAATATTATGTTGGCTGTTTGAGTTTTTTGTCTCTCCATATAAACTTTAGAGTCAGTTTGTCAATTTCCATTAAATAATTTACTGGGATTTTTATTGTGATTACAATGAATCTGTAGATCAGTTTGGGGGGAACTGACATCTTGACAATATTGAGTCTTTCTAGCCATGGACTATCTCTTCATTTATTTAGTTCTTTGATTTCGTTCATCAGAGTTTTGCAGTTTTCCTTATATAGATCTTGTATATATTCTGTTAGATTTATACCTAAGTATTACATTTTTGGGGTGCTAATATAAATGGTATTGTGTTTTTAATTTCAAATTCTCTTGTCCATTGTTTGTATGTAGGAAAGCAATTGACTGTTATATGTTAACCTTGTATCCTGCAACCTTACTATAATGGCTTATTAGTTCCAGGAGTTTTTGTTTTTTTAAAATTCTTTCAGAAGCATAGATGTTTATGTCATCTGTGAACAAAGACAGTTTTATGTCTTATTTGCCAATCTATGTACCTTTTATTTCTTTTTCTTGCCTTACGGCATTGGCAAGGACTTCCAGTATGATGTTGAAAAGGAGTGGTGAGAGAGACATATTTGCTTTCTACTTAATTTTAGTGGGAAAACTTAGAGTTTCTCATCATTAAGTATGATGTTAGCTGTAGGTTTTTCCAAGATGTTCTCCTTTATCCTGGTGTACTGAGAGTTTTTATCATGAATGGGTATTGGATTTTGCAATATACATCTATTTATATGATCATATGGTTTTTCTTTTTCAGTCAGATCTCATTTTTAAACATGGTTTTAGATATATAATCTCTTGGACAAATTATTTGAACTTGCTTATAAGCCTTCGTTTCCTGATAGGAACCATGTACATGTGGGAACTTATAAGAAACCAGAAGCAGAAATAGGTTGTCTACCTCATAGGCTGTGAGAACTATTTACAATAATGCATATCAAGTGCTTTCCTTAATGCCTGTCATGTAATAAACATGTGATAAATGGTAATTGTCAACTGTCTTTGGCAAATATTAGAGGGATAATAAACATAATAACATTAGAAAATAAGCCTCTGAAAAGTAATGAGGTTAAGTTCGTCTAATAAGACTGGTCAATAAGGTAAATGGAAATTTGAGTGGAAACTATGGGATAATTTGTCCCATACACTGTGTGGATAATTTTTAGTGCTTAAAATCACATTTGACTATTCTTGGATAATTTAAGGGGGACAGTTGTCTTTTAATTAATGCACTTAAATGGGGATGAAAGTTGCTTTATAATGATTCCTACCTTGTTGAAACAGATTCAAGATTTTTGGAAAGTTACCACTGATTTCTTTACGAATCTCAGATAAAAAACTGCAAGGGATTTTGGAATTGGTTGAAAGCATTCCAAAACCAAAAGCTGCAACTGAAGTACATGGCCCTGTCAAATCATTTCAGGTAATGAATGTTATTTTCAAAATTAATAAAAGCATGAATTAAGAAAAATTTCACAGATAGTATTTGTAACAACCACAGGAATTTATGGTAAAACAGTTTAATTCGTTTTGAATACACCTTTGAAAATTACATTTTAAAAGAAGAGGATAAAATAGTAAAAGATGCAGATAGTAAAGAAAGGTATAAAATGATAAATCTACTTTCCTTCAGTCCTCCAGCCTTCAGTCCCTCTCCTCAATGGTCACACTGTTAAACACTAATTCTCTAGTTTTCCAAAAATGTTTATGGCATGTACTAGTATGTGCACATACAAACATGTGCCTGCCTGTGTGTGTGTATGTACGTGTATATATATTCTTATGTACTTAAAGTTTACATGAATGGGATCATTATACTTACTGTTATCCTATATGTTATATACCTTAGAGATATTTTCCTGTTAGCACATACACATCTACCTTATTTTCTTATGTCGATATATTGTTGAATTGTGTGAGTGTACCATCCTGTGCCTAACATAATCCCCTTTTGATGGGCATTCATATTGTTTTGAGTGTCTGTAGTTATAAAAAATACTGGTTTGAACTTCTTTGTACATATATGTGGGTATATTTTTATCTACTGGATAAATTCCTGTAAGTGGAATTGTTGAATAAAAAGATACGTGAATTTTATGTTTTCATGAACTTTGCCAAATTTCCTTTCTAGATTGAGTACTAATTTATAGTCCCACCAACAGTAAATGAGTGTGTGTTTCTCTGTTCTCATTAGTTTTGAGTATTAACAAATATTAAATTTCTTCTAGTAAATGAAAAAATGTTATTTTCTGGTTTTTATTTTCATTTCTTTATGAGTAAGATAGGACTTATTTTCATAAGTTTATTGGGTATTTGAATTTCTATTTTTGGAAACTGCTGTTCATGTCTTTTGTTGGATTATGGTTTTCCAATTAAGGAAATTATCGCTGTTTATCATTTACAAAAATGTTTTTTTCCAATTTGTTTTTTATCTGATAGATTTATTTTCGCCATGCCAAAGCTTACTTTTTTTGTAATCTAAGTTATTAGATTTTTACTTCATGATTTCTTTTTTCATTATATACCTTATCTCTTATCAACAAAAAGAAAATATGTATTCTTGCTTTCTCTTTTTTTATTTTCCTTTTTTTTTTTTTTTGTGAGGAGGACTAGCCCTGAGCTAACATTGGATGCCAATCCTCCCCTTTTTTTCCCCTTGAGGAAGAGTGGCCCTGAGCTAACATCTGTGCCCATCTTCCTCTACTTTATATGGGACACTGCCAACAGCATGGCTTACCAAGCGGTGGGTCAGTGTGCGCCTGGGATCCAAACCTGTGAACCCTGGGCCGCCGAAGCGGAGCATGTGCAATCAACTGCTTGCGCCACCGGGCCGGCCCCTCTCTTTTTTTAAATTTATTTTATTATTTTTTATTTTTTTATTTTTGGTGAGGAAGATTAGCCCTGAGCTAACATCTGTTGCCAGTCCTCCTCTTTTTACTGAGGAAGATTGGCTCTGGGCTAACATCTGTGCCCATCTTCCTCTACTTTATACGTGGGATGCCTGCCACAGCATGTCTTGATAAGTGGTGTGTATGTCCGCACCCAGGATCCAAACCCGCAAACCGTGGGCCATCAAAGCTGAGCGTGTGAAGTTAACCACTATACTGCCAGGCCGGCCCCTCGCTTTCTCTTTTTTTTAATTCTAATTTCTCTTTTCATTTTAAACTTTTTTTCTTTTGAAATAATTTCAAAGTTGTGAAAATAGTGTCAAGAAGTTTCTTCCTTAAACCATTTGAGAGTAAGTTGATGACATGTACCATTACCCTTAACACTTTAGTGTTTTGTAGTATTTTTTCATAATCTTATTGAGCTTTTTTTTCTTTAACAGTCTCTTTTGACAAGTGGAGGTTTTAAATTTTGATGAAATCCAATTTATCAGTATTTTATTTTATGGATGAAGCTTTTTATGTCATATCTCTGAAATCTTTGCCAAACACAAGGTGAAAAGATTTTCTGTGTTCTAAAAATTTTGTAGTTTTAGGTTTTATATTTAGGTCTGTGATCCATTTTGTGTTAATTTTTATATGATGCATGTGCTGAATCATCATTCTATTTTTACATTTGTATTTCTAGTCATTTCAGTTTCAGTTGTTGAAAAGACTCTTTCTCCATTGAGTTGAGTCTGTTTCTGGCTTTGTTTTTCTCCAGTGATTTCTACGTCTGTTCCTTTGATCTGTGTCTGTCCTTTCACTGATAACCATAGTCTTATTTACTATATAAGTAAATATATATTCATGGTAAGTCTTTTTTTTTTTTAGTCTTCTTTAGATGTTAAGGAGAATTTCTGTGCCAGTCTTCTGAGTCTAGTTCTTCTATCAGCTTTATGCTATGATGACTGCACCCCTAAGTCGTTTCTGGCTTAATGTATCTTGTCTTTTACAATTTTATTGACTTTTTTATTCTTAAGGTTTTATAAGTTTTAGAAAAAGTGCTTGTGTAACTGTTAGGTTCTCTCTTAGTTTTCAATGATGCTTAAGAGGACTTTCTCCCCCCTTCTGTGCTTAATGTGTCTATATATCAAGAGGGTCTCAAACACATGATCTATGCTAGATCATGTTCCTTTTTAAAATCAAGTGCGTATGTGAAAATAGGCAGAGGATAACTATGTAATATGTCTTCTTATACTGAGTTTCTATTATATGCCATGCCACACATTTGGCAAAGGATTACTATATGAGGGTATCTATTATTTATATTTAACACCTAGCACACCTCTAGATTTTTGCATATTTTTATCTTTAATCCTTTTTACAATCCAGCAAGTTAGGTATTATGATCTTTATTTTGCTCAGGAAATAAAGTCTTAGAGAGGTTAAATGTTTTGTCTAAGATCATATAGGTTGTAGCTTGCTGAGCCAAATTTTGAATTCAGGTTTCTTTTCTTTTTTTTTTCTCCCTGTCTTCAAACAGATCTACAGCCCTACCACTGATGTTCTTTCTACTATTATCGTGCTGCTTTCTGTATAGATGACTTCCTAATCTGCAGGGAGTCTGTTTTCTAGCTTTTCCAAGTTTCCCAAGAAAGTGCAGTGCAAAACAGTAAACCCTCACTAAGAGTTTTGATTTGACTTGAAGTGGTTTTACAGTTTAAATCAAAAAACAATTTATAAAAAAAGAATCACCTCATCATGAATGCTTGTTTGGCTTGTCTCAGAAACAAAGTTTCAGTTATAAGTCTTAAAAGTTTTTTTTTTTTTTCGCTGAGGAAGATGTGCCCTGAGCTAACATCTGTTGCCAATCTTCCTCATTTTGCTTGAGGAAGATTCACCCTGAGCTAACATCTGTGACAGTCTTACTCAATTTTGTATGTGGGTCACCTGCCACAGCATGGCCACCAACAACTGGTGTAGGTCTGTGCCCAGGAACTGATACCTGGGCTGCTGAAGCAGAGTGTGCTGAACCCAACCACTAGGCCACAGGGCCAGCCCCACAAGTCTTAAAGTTTTAACACCTAAATATCTCTTGAAGCTATATGTTCTTCACTTCCTGCAATAGATTTGTTTTAAAAAAAAAAAATTTTATTTCAGCTTTGTTGAGGTATAATTGACAAATAAAATTGTAAAATACTTAATGTGTACATTGTGGTGATTTGATATACATATACATTGTGAAAAGATTTCCTCTAGTTAATTAACACATCTGTTATCTCACATATTTACCTTTTTTTTTTTTTGAGAACATTTAAGTTCTACTCTCTTAGAAAATTTAAATTATATGAACAGTATGAACTATAGTCACCATGTTTTACATTATTAGATCTTCAGATCTTATTTATGTTATTGCTGAAAGTTTGTAGCCTTTTACCAGCTTCTCCCTATTTCTCCCAGCTCCCAACCCCTGGCAACCCCTTTTCTACTCTCTGTCTGTGAGTTTGAATTTTTTTTTTTTAGATTCCATATAAAAGTGATACCACGCAGTATTTGACGTTTTCAGTCTGGTTTATTTCACTTAGCATAATGCCCTCACGGTCCATCCATGTTGTCAAAAATGGCAGGATTTCCTTCTTTCTCATGGCTGAATAATATTCTATTCTATATATATATATATATATAATATATATATAAATAACATCTTTATCCGTTCATCTGTTTGATGGATACTTAAGTTGTTTGCATATCTTGGCTATTGTGAATAACATCACAGTGAACATGGGAGTGCAGATATCTCTTTGATATCCTGTTTTAATTTCCTTTGGATAAACCAAAGAGGTGAGATTGCTGGATCATATACTAGTTCTAGTTTTAATTTTTGAGGACTCTCCACACTTTTCCATTGTGGCTACACCAATTTACATTCCCACCAACAGTGCTTAAGAGTTCCCTTTTCTCCACATCTTAGCCAACACTTACCTCTTGTCTTTTTGATGATAGCCATTCTAACAGGTGTGAGGTGATATGTTATTGTGGTTTTAATTTGCATTTCCCTGATGATTAGTGATATTGAGCAATTTTTGTGTACCGGTTGGCCATTTGAATGGCTTCCTTGGAAAAATGTCTGTTCTTTTCCTCTGCCTATTTTTTAATCTGATTATATTCTAATCCGGTTTGTTTTTGTTTTTTTGTTTTGCTGAATTATATGAGTTCTTTATATATTTTGAATATTAAGAACTTATCAGATATATGATTTGCAGATATTTTCTCCTATTCTGTAGGTTGCCTTTTCATTTTGTTGATAGCTTCCACTGCTATGCAGAAAACTTTTTAGTTTGGTGTAGTCCCACTTGTTTATTTTTGCTTTTGTTGCCTTTGCTTTTGGTGTCAAATCCAGAAAAATCATTGCCAAGACTGGTGTTGAGGAGCTTACTGCCTATGTTTTCTTCTAGGACTTTTATGGTTTCAGTTCTTATGTTCAAGTCTTTAATCCATTTTGAGTTGATTTTTGTGTGTGGTGTAAGATAGGAGTCTAGTTTCATTCTTTCACATG